GAGGAACCTGTACATGGACAAGGAGGCTGTTGTTGGAATAGAACAAGAGGATACTGCATGGTTTAAAATCAGGAAGGGAGTGCATCAGGGTTGTATCATTTCACCATACTTATTCAATCTGTATGCTGAGCAAATAATCCAAGAAAGTGAACTATATGAAGAAGAACATGACATCAGGATTGGAGGAAGACTCCTTAAAAACCTGCAATATGTAGATGACACAACTTTGCTTTCTGAAAATGAAGATGATTTGAAGCATATACTGATGAAGATTAAAGACTACAGTCTGCAGTATAGATTACATTTCAATATAAAGAAAACAAAAATCCCCACAACTGTACCAATAAGCAGCATTATGATAAATGGAGAAAAGATTTAACTTGTCAATGATTTCATATTACTTGGATCCATCAACACCAATGGAAGCAGCAGTCAAGAAATCAGACAATGTATCGCATGGGGCAAATCTGCTGCAAAAGATCTCTTTGAAGTGCTGAAGAGTAAAGATGTCTCTTTGAAGACAAAAGTGTGCCTAACCCAAACCACTGTATTTTCAATAGCCTCATATACATTTGAAAGCTGGACAATGAATAGGGAAGACCGAAGAAGAGTTGATGCTTTTGAGTTGTGTTGGAGAAGAATACTGAAAGTACCACGGACTGCCAGAAGAACTAACAAATCTGTCCTGGAAGAAGTGCAGCTGGAGTGCTCCTTGGAAGGAAGAATGGCCATACTTTGTCTCTCTCTCTTTGGTCATATTGTCAGAAGAGACCATTCCCTGGAGAAAGATATCATGCTTGGTAAAGTGAAGGGTCAGCAAAAAAAAGGGGAAGGCCCTCAATGAGATGGACTAACATAGTGGCAACAACAATGGGCTCAGGTGTAGCAAGGATTGTGAGGCTGGCGTAGGGCGGCAGTTTCATTCTGTTGTACATAGGGTCACTATGAGTCCCCGCCGACTCAACGGCACCTAACAACGATGTCATAATGTATACACAAACCTATCTCCTCAGTTTTCATAATCTTAGCTTTTGTTCATTAATTAGTGTGTTGGACAAAGTATTTCACATATGAATTTTTAATTTTCATGAGTCACAATTTTACCTTTTTAAAAATTAACAGTGCAGAAACCTCAGACCAAAAAATATTTTCACCATGTCTGAAAATAAAACTTTTCATATTTCCCCCAACTCTGGATTCCCTTTCCAAACCAACTCCATGCCTGACTTTTGGAATTCTCCTGTCTGAATGTATGCCATGTATAATCTTTTTCCAGTTGCTGTAAATTACACATACAATTTATAATTTCACTGAAGTGTACAGTTCAGTGCCATAAAGTACATTCACAGTGTTGTACAACCATCACCACTATCTAGTTCTGGAAACTTATGTCACCGAAAAATAAACGTTATAATTTTTTTAATGTAATAACCATGGGAAAAGGTGCAATTTTTGTACCGCAAGAGACTAATATAAACCTGGCAAGCTTGACATTTTTCTTCGAAACATTTCATTTTAAAAGCCAGTTTCTTTGAAGTCTCATTTCTTCCAAATCCTCAAAATGTATTTACATGAAAAAATCTTTAACACTTATGGTATTCATTAAATGTATTCATTTACATAACCATCCTTTGCAACATGCCCACCTACAATTTGAGGCACTAGATATATTAAAAGAAAAAAAAAGCCATCTAATTAATTTCTGTATTTCTCCAATGCTTGCCTGAGACTTCTTTTAACATAGTATATTTTATTCCAAACTAATCAAATCCTATCAAGTTGCAGAAATCGTGTTTACACATTTTAAATGGGATCCAATTTTCCACTGACATCACATTCCGTTTCACCAAATATTAAAAGCGTCAAAGTTATTTTATTACTAACTAGATCCGTTATTATTTTCAGTGGATACATGTTATTCCTCTAACACTTCTCTTAGACTTTCACCAAACCCAAACTCACTGCCATCTAGTTGCTTCCAACTCATAGTGACCCTCATTGGGTTTCCAAGGACTTTACAGAAGCAGACTGCCCCATCTTTCTTCCATGGAGCAGCTACTTGGTTTAAACTACCAACCTTTTGGTTAGCAGCCAAATACCTTAAACACTATACCACCAGAGCTCCTTTCCCTAAGAGTTTGTTGTTGTCATGTGCCTTCTAGTCGGACCCAACTCCTAGCAACCCCTCCTGGGTTGCCGAGGCAGTATCACTAAGGAAGTAGATTGCCCAACCTTCCTTCCCTAAGAGTAGAATAACAAAAGAAATCCTATTCCTGACTCCATTTAATTCATGTACTATCCTCCTCTTACCCTTTAGGTGGCATTATAGCAACACTTGTACTTTGCAGATTTGGCCTACACAGCTCTCCCAAACTGGCCTCATCCCAACTTACCAACTGCATCCCTAACTATTCCAGGCAGACTGGGTAGGTACACCTCTGCTACTGGAACACATTTTCCTTTTTTTTTTTTTTTTTTTTATACCAACACTGGCCACTTCCAGGAATGACCTAATGACTCATCTTACCCCACCCTTCAGTGATCAATTTAAGTGGGTTCCTTTTCTTTGCTGCATTTGCAGCCCACAATAATCTCTTGCCTTGTTTGGAGAATGAGATTTTCCAATGAGCATATGTAATGTTACTGATTATCTGTGTTTGTGTGCAGTGTCTCTGCACTTCATTTTTAAACTGAAGAAGAAGGCTCATTTCTGCTGGTTTTAACACAGAACTTTATTGAAAATACAACCAGACTCAAATAGGAAATTATATATTAAAATAACAAAGAGAAGGGTAGCTTACTTAGGTGACTCAGTTCATTGGAAGTTCAATTCTGAAAAATACTGCTATGTGGACAGCAAGACAACTATCAACAAATGTGTTTTCAGTTCTAATATTCATTTGGCATCCATGAAATGATCCACCTCAAGCCAAGAGTTGTATGATGTTAACATCGGCATTAAAAATGTTACATCATCAAAGCAGACTGTGAAAACAAAAGCACTACTCAGGGTTCTTTGGGAACATAAGGCTGATCAGAGACAGGTGGTAAACTGTACTAACTTCGTTTTCCCACCTTATGACCTTTTCGATTGTTTATCTGGACTTGTAATTCCTTAGTTAATGCCTCAAACTCATGAAATGTGGAAATAAGTGGTTCAAGACTGAAATCATCATCAATTGAAGACATCATTCCTTTTTTAATTTTATTACTGATATTCTGAAACATTTTAATAACAATTGTAATATTATCATTTGTCTCTTTTATGTTAAAGAGACCTAGAAATATTGATAGAGCTTTGGCACTGAATACATCTTTTGTCACATTAGGATTTTCAGACAAATTCAGTAACATTTTCAGAATGTGAAACCTTGTTCTCCTATTGCCTGTAGCTAATAAGGAGAGAAACCCTGACATATAATTGGCAACCAGTGTGTGATAGTCAGTAGTAGTAGTGAGATCTCTAACCATCTTTATTCCAGACAGCTGCTCGGGGGAATCCAAGTTTCGAGCAAGGGTTTCCTCACAAACTTGACATACAAATGTCTCAATCATGTTTTTATTTGGATGAGATGGAGCCATGTGAATCATGTTTTCCAAAAATCTCGTCCTGTCTCGAGAGGAGGGATAATCCATCAAGGTTTCAATAAGTGAGACAACACCTGAGTCTCGAATGAAATCTCGAGTAAAATGAGAAGCACTTTTCCTACCCATTGCAATTTTAGATATTTCATAAATAAAAGGATCCTGAATTTTTTCCATTAATAAAAGGAGTTCTTCGAACTCTTCAGAACCAATCCTAAGCTCACATTGTACACACCTGCACAACCAACTTCCAGGCTCTGCATGCTCTTTGGCCTTAAGATGCAGTCGAATTTCATTGACTGTCACTAAGGCAGGCTCACACTGAAATGGGAACCTAGGGTCAGGATCATCCTGACTGGGATGACTCAAAGATTCCTGCTCTTCCCCACTGGGGTTCAGTTTCATTTGCTTGAGGTTTCCCTCAATCATTTCAGACAGTTCAGATATTGCTTCTTCAGGAATTCTAAAGGGGCTTATAGATGGGAAGCCAAGCCCATGACAAGGAACAGCCTTGAATTCAACAGTGACGTCTTCCCAGCTTTGGGGTCTAGATGATAAACCAATTTCATGCTCAGCCAAACCACTGAATTGGCAACTGGCCTTGTACACAGGGCTAGGATTTAGGTCAAAGCAGGCCTCATCTCTGTCCCAGAACCAGGAGCCAAATATGGCCTCTTCCTCAGACTCTGGCCTGTTCTCTTCTCTGGCCCCAGCCCCTACACTTGCCTCATCCTCAGTCCAGAATAAAGATCCAAAAACGGCCCCCTCCTCAGCCCCTGGCATGGGTTTATAGCTGGCCACAGCCCCAGCCTCCATACTGGCCTCTTTTTCTGCCCAGAACCAGGAACCAATAATGACCTCCTCCTCAGACCTAGGCTCTTGTTTGACCCTATCCCTGTTACCATCTTTCTGGGCCCTGGGCTTTAAGCTGGTATTAGACTCTTTCTTGTCTCTTGACCTAAACCTACTATTAGACTCTTCAGGTAAAAACCAGGACTCCTTATAGAATTCATCTTCAGACCCAGACTCAAAACAATCCTCTCTCTTTGTCCTAAGCTTGGACCTGATATTTGCCTCTTCCCTGGCTTTGGGCCTAGACAAGGTATTGGCATTTTCTCCAGCCCAGAGGCAGTAAAGATTGCCAGCCTCATCCTCAGACCCAGATCTAGAATCAATACAGGGCCCTTGCTTCATCCTGGGCCTGGACCGGGTATTGGTCTGCTGTTTAGCCCTGTGCCTGGACCTGGAATTGGACTCTTCTTTCGGCCATGATCTGATACAGGTCTCTTCCCCTGTCCAGAAAGAAGACAATGTAGAAGTCTCATCTGCTGACCAGAATCCAGACTCATCTGAGGCCTCTTGTTTGGTCCTGAGCCTAGGATAGCACCAAGACCCCATATTACTCTGTTCCCCTGACCCAAACCAGGGCTGGATTCCATTTTTGCCAGATAAGGCCTCATCCTCCACATCAACCAGTTCCCTATCCACAGATAATGCCTTACTTGTAGCAACTGGCCTGGACTCAGTATTGACCAGTGACCAGGCTGCAGCATTAGTCTGGGTCACTTCTGCCGTCTCAGATGTTGCCTCAGCCCCATATTCAGTCTGGACCCATGCCTGGGCTTCATCCTTGGGCCTTATTCTAGCCACTGCCTTGGACTCAGTCTTAGGCCGTGCCCCAGACACTGCCTGGGCCTCACTTTTGGGCCATGCTCCAATCATTGCTTTGGCCTCAATTTTGAGCTGTACCCCAGTTATTACCTGAGTCTGGGTTCTAACTTTGGGTCTGACCACCAGAGGGACTTCAGATTCCTTCTCAGCCCCACCCCCAACCTCTTCACCAGACTTCTTTTCAGACTTGGCCTGGGTACAAGGCTCAATCTCAGCCCCAGTCATGGTTCCAGTTACACAGGAAGCCCAGTTATATACCCCTACACAGTCTCAGCTTCACCTACAGATTTGTTAGAAGTTTCTATCTTCACACTCTGGTCTTCAGGATATTCAGGCTATAATGCAGGAAGCAAGACTTAAAGTCAATCTGCAGTCCAGCAGTCAGTCAGCCTCCTTCATAAGCTCAGGCTCTGCCAACAATATAGACAAAGTGCAGAGGAGGCATAACCAAGCTGGGGGTGGATGGATGGATCCTGGGTGGGTGTGGACCTTTGGAGGGTGGTGGTCAGTACCAACTTTAAAACCACCAGAGATGCCACTGGAGGTAGATCTAGGGAGAGACAAAGGAAAGGAGCCTTCAAGTCTCTTCCAATTGCACCACCCCATGCACACACTCGCACAGGGTGACTGGACCTTGAGTGCTTTTGGTGGGATAGCTGGGCTATTAGAAACAGTCTCTCTGTCCCTTCATTTCACCCATGCTTTTTATCCTCAGAGCTTCCAAGTTACTTTGCCTGCTACAAAATAGGTGAGGGGGTGGTAGAAAATGGGATGTCAAGGAGAGGCTGAGGAGCCCCTGGACTGGACTCTAATCACTAAGGAACCCACCCCAAAACGCTACTCACTCCCATACCAACCTGCATTGATCTGGCTGGTATGATTTCTCCCTCCTTTCCTTGCTTTCAGTGGAGTCAAGTCCTACAGCAGAGCTGCCAGCCGCCCTGTGTTCAAGTAAACAGGAGAAAATATAGCCCAGGTGCTTGGTAGACAGGCACACACCTTGGCTCCTGAAGCTAATAACTCCTTTTCTATTTAAGAGTCCAATCTGTCTAATGTGCCCCATCTATGTTCTGATCCCTGTTCATAGGTCTGCTCCTCAGTCACGGCTCCAATATTCCTAATATTCCCTAAATGGATGCTGTGGCAGTGTGGAAATCTGACAGAGAGTAGAAGAGTTGGAGGAAGGCTTGCACTCACTTGGAGCATGCTCTTACTTTGTCGCTGTTCCCAGGTATCGCCCCCTTGCACACAAACCTCCAGATATTTGAGCCAGTATTCCACTCTTTTCCTTCCAGAACTGACCAGCTCTAAAGCAGGCCTAGAGACAAACATGGAAAATTAAGACAATCAGGAGACAATAGTGGCAAATGAGTGCATGGTGGACACAGTAACTCAAAGAGAGGAATTTCTGAGTACTATCTACCTTTCAACATTTAGGGTTCTGTTGGTGGAATATTTTCCAGCTCTCTTTAGGTTATCTGTAACAAGGTTCTAGAGATAACAAACCTCTTCTCTTCCTATTACTCCCTCCAACAATTCTGAGAACACACCACCAGGTGGACCATACCCCCTTGCCTACAGGGCATATGGGGGGCGGGGAAGGGCACCTGCATATTTTGGAAAATATTTTGGGAAGTGGTACCTGTAATTTGATTCCCTAGTCTATCCCACCATCAAAATGCCCTTCATTTCCTGTCCCAGATCTATTGGAAAAGTGGGAAGAGGGAAAGGGAAGATCACCTAGACTGCTGTTAACAAGGGGAAGACCAAGAGGTTCCAGAACCTTCTCTAATGGCAGTTACCCCACCCGAATCAGTGTCCAGTCAGTGCCTGCTACCCACCCTCACCTTTCCCACACACCTCCAGAAATCCAAACCACTTTCTTGCTCCTCCTTTTTCTCAAGCCTCTCCTCTGCAGATGCACACCGCAGCCTGGTGAAATGTGGGATACCTAAGATGCAGACAGGAAGCTTTGACGTCAATGGTCACCCATGGGAAGAGGGCAGCACCCAGGATGCAGGGCTCAACAGGCCCCTTTCCAGAATCAGGGGCAGGGGCAGCAAATGCCACCCGCCCCCTCCCAGCTCCACACGGAGCTCTGAGGACAGCCCCTCTCCTGGCAGTCCCCAGGTGCCCCCCCATCCTCTGCTCCCACTGCCTCCGCCATTTCTCCTGCACATGCACACCCCTCACAACCATCGCCCAGCACAGACATGGGGGGTGGTGTGTGGGTGGTGCGTGTGTGTGTGTGTGTCTGTCTGTCTGTCTGGATGAGGACTCTGGAAGGCTGGCAGAGAAGTGGCTGGCAGGGCTCCTTTGCAGAGGAGCTTAGGTGCCTCTGGGGCCAACCCTCGGCCCTTTGCCAGGCCTGCGCCAGTCACGCCTGCTTATGGCCAGGGTTCCTGGGCACTGCGCGCACCTCTCTCAGGGACCAGCTCCACTAGGTCCCCTTCTCCTTGTCTGGCTGCCAGGGCTTGAGGGGCAGAAGGTCGGAGGATCTATGGTGGCCTGGATCCTTCCCCCTGCGCCCACCCCACCCCCACTTGCCTTTACAGGCCCGGGCCCAGGTCGTTGGCCTCCCCCTCCTCTGGCAGCTCCTCACTCGGATCCCCACCGCCTTCCGTGTGGTCAGATGGCAAAGAGGCGACACCGCCCCCGCACTGCTGCACCAAAGTGGGCATGGGCTGCGCAGGAGTGCGGCACTAAGCGCCAGGGTGAGGGCGACGGGAGGGGGGCGGAGGGATACGGTGGCGCGAAGGGGCATGACGCCCCTCACCAGGCCCACCGCAGTTCAAAGCTAGAGGTGGGCGGGGCCAGAATGAGCCTCAGTCTGGAGAGGCGCCTTCGCACCAGGCTGCCTAGTCTTTGTGGCCCTTACCTAGCGACCCCCACTACATTGATAGCGCTGGCTATTAGGGGAGGGAGGGCGGTTGGGGATAGGGGCATGAGCAGGAGGTCGGAAAGAGCCGCGCTGTAGAAGCAGCGGATGAATACCAAAGGACCCCTTGTCCAGCGTTGCTGCTGCCTGCTGAGTAGCTCCCCGCTCCCCTGGCTAAAGAGTGGTGACTGAGGAGTACTGGCTAGGAATCAAATCCAGGTCTCCCACGTGGAAAGCAACAGTTCTACCACTGAAACGCTTGAGTACCTTTTAAAATGGATTTCAGGATGGAGTCTGGTGGGACTATGACCCTGGGATACACTTCGCGTCTGGGATAAAACCTACTCCCAGGGGCTGGCTCTCAGCCCAACAGTAGTAAGACTTACATGCAGAACACCCAACCCAGAGTGATGCACCCACCTACTCTATGGAGATACACCCTTTGGAGCAATCGGCCATGGGGCACCAGAGAGGCAACATTCACACTGAGGAAAAGCTGGACAGGAGTGCATAACTAAAAAGGGCACACGTATGGGGGAGGGGATCACTGTGAAGGGAGAGGAGGAGAGTGGGTTAGGGTTGAAGATGGTTAATTGGGGAGTGAAACAGATGTACAGGAACTGTTGAATGTAAAAGAAATTCTGTTCTGTAAATTTACACCCAAAGCACAATAAAAAATAAAATAAAATGGATTTCAGTCCAACAGATTACAGTAGTCAAGGTTCCAGTTCCCAGAGCCACCACTAGCGATTGTGCAATCCTGATTAGGTCTTCAACCTAAATTTCAGAAACAAATCAGAGTTCACACTCACAACTGTTAAGCGCAGGATACAGAAGCAGCTGTGTTGATTCAACATTACCTACCCTTCTCTCTCCCCATAGCACCACTTTACTTTCTTCCTAAAGAACCCTGAGTTTAAGAAACAACATACTCTTTGCCTGTGCAGCTCATGATCTCCTCCTTGCCCCTGTCAATCAAGGCGCACAAGGACCTATTTTAGCTCATTGGCTCTCTTCTATCGTACATTTGCCTCAGGTAGATGGTCTTTCTTGGACCTCCCTTTTTGTCACACACACACACAGCCATCCAGTTGATTCTGGCTCATAGCAAGCCCCATTGGATTTCCAAGGCTTTAGATCTTTTCAGAAGTAGATTGTCTCATCTTCCACAGAACAGCTTGTGTGTTTGAACCGCTGACCTTCTGGTTAGCAGCCAAATGCCTTACTGTGCCACTAGAGCTCCTTGTTGAGTCAAAATCCCATCTCTGCATTTCAGGAGCTTTACACAGGAGCTAAAGTCCCCTGCAGTGGGGACCAAGTAGGTTGGGGCTGGGGTGTACAGACAGATGAAGGTGCACAAGGGAAGAGGGGGGCATGGCCTAGGGAAGGCTGGCAGTCTGACTCCTGGTGTGGGGGGAGCATTCTTTTGCTGAATTTACCCAGGTCTTCTGCGTAGCTGAGGTCAGAAACTTGCTTGCTTAGCATATATCTGTCTCCTTCCAGGGGCTGATTTATATGCTCATAGTCAGGATTCTACATGAGGAGGCAGATTTGAAGGCCTACAGGGGAAGCCTTGCACAAGCCCACTTGTGAGTGGGCTGAGAGCCTCCCTGAAATGTACTCATGATTTGTATACTTGGGTGGAGGAGGGCATCAGACATCCTTGGAGTGTGCCTGGTGAAGTAACTGGTGAAATGTGCCCAAAGGAAGTCTACTTGCAGTAGAAGCTGAGAGCCTGCAGGAAGGAACTCAAGCTGTGTTCATGAGTTCACTGCTTGAGCCAGGCACGTGAACAGGTGCGGAGGTCTGACACCAGACTACTTTCGGGTCATATGCGGGAGTGGTGGGATCAGCTGCAAGAGAATTCATCGTGGGAGAATACAGGCTTGTCATTAGGGTAGTAGAGCTATTCTAACAACAGCCCTGGAATTAGGACTCCTATCTTTGCTTCTTCCAACATAACCATCAGCTGTGTTTCTGTCATAGTAATGGCAGGGCTATAACTCAATCTAGAAAGTGTTGTTTAATGAGTCTGTACCACTCTGTACTGCAGATCCCAATAATGAAGTATACCCTAAAAGAGACCAAAACATCCTCCTCTCCAACATGGCTTTAAAGTTTAGACTCATATTCAGCTCTGACATCATGAGGACTCAGGGTATGCACAGTGGCTGGGAAAATTAGAGAGCAGTTGGAGGGGCTGAAGTGCCTGGCAAAAAGCTTAGAATACCAGCAACACCTGGGCTAATTGTGTGAAAACCAATGAAGTTCAGCTGTCGAGTTGATTCCGACTCATAGTGACCCTACAAGACAGTGTAGAACTGAATGGAACTTGGGTTTCTGAGATTTTAAA